GGCGGGTGTGCCAGTTGCAGGCAAGGGGTTAAAGAGGGGTGTTTGAGGAAAGGATAAAGAGAAGGACGGGGATCAGGATCAAGGCATCAGAAGAAATCGATTGACGTTACATTTGGATATTTGGAGATTATAGCTATCAGGGAAGCAAGTAAGAGGAAGGGAATCCCACTGTCGGGAAGTGCGATAGAAGAAGCTATTGTTTTTAATGTTCACGTAGTCTGGTTCCAAAATGGTATGATATATTGAGCTACGGCTTTTAGGAATAAAGTTGAAAAGTGTGACACACTGACATTCGCATTTATTATATAGAAGTTAAATGTAACAAAATTTTAAGCTTTACAGTTTTTTTTTACTGTATACTTACTTTAACATCATTGGACGTTAGATTAATAATGTTCATGGTTATTAAAAACTGTTAAGAACTGGAATCCCAATTTTCATGTTAGTTTTACACCCTTGTGCAAATTAATTGAAATAAAACCAATAATTACGTTATTATTTACTTTCTTTTCGCATTTTCTCAATGAAACATGAACCAGTGTACATGTTAGTACTTCGTATGTCCATTCCACGAAATCGTTCCTTGCAGATTGACCACAGATTTTCAATAGGATTTAAATCAGGAGAGTTCCTGGGCCAGTCTATAGTACTTTGATTTGCTCACTAGTAAGGCTTGCCAGTGTGTTCGAGAAACGTTACAATTTTTGTTCGCTTTCTTGGAGTAACGTCCATCGCAGAAATGGCCGTAGGACAACTAATCGACAGTCGAGACAATAGTGTCTGGGTGTGATGAAAATATGATGCAATCGCAGATGACACAATATTTTTCAAGCTCAAACAAATTTCATGATACACCCCGAAAATGGATTCATATTACTGCACAATATTGCAAATAACCAAAGCTGAGGAAAAAATAGAAACGATTAGACCCTGTCACTCCAGTGGGTCTAAAACTGACTGTATGGTGAAAGAAAGGAAACTAAAGCGGTTGTTTTCAATTAATAGTGTACTTATTGAAAGTTGTTTGTTGCTTAACAAGTCTTTCTTTCGCTTAAATATGATTAAATATTTAATAAAACTACTGTTACTACTACTACTACTACTACTACTACTACTAATAATAATAATAATAATAATAATGATTACACAGAATGCAGATTCTGTGATGAATATCGAGAAATAATTGTCCATCTTGTATCAGGTTGCACGGTATTGGCATCCAGAGAAGCTCGGCATGATAACGCGTACCAATATCTGCACTGAAATATATGCAACGTTTTGGAGCAGGAAACTGCAAGAAATTCGTATGAATACCACCCAGACTCGGTTACAGAATTTACAATATGCACAGAAAGAACAATCAAAGCTCATCCGCGTCCTGGGTAAGACGATAAACTACGTCCAACAGCAAGACCTCTGATCAGGAGGTTTTGAGGAGCGTGGAACCATCTCTTAATTGCTGGTGTTCCCAGGTCCACACTGAGCCGGGGTGGTAGCACCTGTTAGGGTCCCTGCTATGGGAAAACAGTTAACCCCCAGAATGAGGTCAAAACGTGTAAAAATACATTTTAATACCAGCAATATATTTTCAATGACAAAATTATTACCAGCAATACATCATTACTAAAAATACATTTTTGAAAAAAAAATAAATAAATATTACCAGTAATACATTTTGGGGAAAAATATTACTAGAAATACATTTTCGAAAAAGAATATTAATAGCAATACATTTTGTGGAAAAATATACATTTCCGAAAAAAAATTTTACCAGCAATACATTTTGCGGAAAAATGTTACCAGAAATACATTTTCGAAAAAAAAATATTACCAGGAATACATTTTGGGGGTAAAATATTACTAGAAATACATTTTCGAAAAAAAAAAAAAATTGCCAGCAATACATTTTGGGGAAAAATATTACCAGAAATACATTTTGGGGAAAAATATTACAAGAAATACATTTTCGAAAAAAAAAATATTGCCGGCAATACATTTTGGGAAAAAATATTACAAGAAATACATTTTCGAAAAAAATAAATTGCTAGCAATACATTTTGGGGAAAAATATTACCAGAAATACATTTTCGAAAAAAAAAATATTTCCAGCAATACATTTTGGGGAAAAATATTACCAGAAATACATTTTCGAAAAAAAATATTAATAGCAATACATTTTGTGGAAAAATATACGTTTTAGAAAAAAAATTTGCCAGCAATACATTTTGCGGAAAAATGTTACCAGAAATACATTTTCGAAAAAAAAATATTACCAGCAATACATTTTGGGGAAAAATATTACCTGAAATAAATTTTGGGGAAAAATATTACCAGAAATACATTTTCTAAAAAAAATATTTCCAGCAATACATTTTGGGGGAAAATATTACCAGAAATACACTTTCGAAATAAAATATTTCCAGCAATACATTTTCGAACAAAATATTACCAGCAATAAAAATCTTGTTGGCATTAAATAACCCACTGAGGTTGATATACCGTAAAACAAACCAAAGATAATCGCCTTGACATATTGATCAAGGACCACAGAAACAGAATGTGCTTTCTTATTGACATACTAGTTACTACAGACCATAATATTTCTTTGAAAAACTTCAAAACATTATTATTATTATTATTATTATTATTATTATTATTATTATTATTATCTTTGATTTCTGGCGTTTACACATTTCTTTCCGGGTCCCGCCCAGGGACCTAAGGTTAGAAATGGCGTCATGACACTTTCCACTGACAAAAAAAAAAAAAATGATTACATAGATAAAGCCCTTCGTAAGGTGTGGGCTGTACTTGTCAGAACAATTTTCTGTATCTCCTTGAGGCATAGACTTCCAGGAATCCCTTCAATTAGTCTACTGCAATCTTTTCCAACCAGTCCTAGGGCTCCAACTACAACAGGGATTGTTGATGTTCCCATATGCCACATTTTCGCGATTTCTATTTCAAAGGTCCTTGTACTTTTGACAACTTTTTTGATATCTTCAAAGATACATTGCAGTCGGCAGGGACTGCCATATCAATAAGGAGGCACCGTTTTTTTGTTTGTGGTCTTTAATAACAATATCTGGGCGGTTGGCCTTGATTGTTCTGTCAGTGTGTATTGTGTAGTCCCATAGAATTGTAACAGGTCCTATCTCCGTAACCGGGTCTGGGTGGTGTTCATACCAGTTTCTTTCAGTTTTCTTCCCGTAGATGTTGCAGATTTTCCAGTGCAAATATTGGCCCACTCTGTCATGTCGGGTTTTATATTCAGTGGGTGCCAACACCGTACAACCTGATACAAGATGATCAATCGTTTCTGGATATTTATCACAGAATCTGCATTTTGAGCTGACACAATATTTTAGTATATGTGCTTGATAATTCCTAGTTAGCAAGCATTGGTCCTGCGCAGCAAGGATAAAACCTTCAGTTTCCGCTTTCAACCCTGCACTACGTAGCCACTGATGGGTACGGGTTTTGTCTACGTCAACTTGTTTGGTACGGGCAGAGTATTGGCCATGAAGCGGTTTATTTTGCCATCGCTTCTGTAACTGGTCTGTTGCATTCGTCTTAGCTATCTTTTTTTAGGTATTTTGCAGTTTCAGCCGGTGTATTGTGCTGTAGTTTCATCTCTACGCCCATTTGAAACTCCATTTTGAATTTGTTGGCTTCCTTCATTACGGAGTAGAGACGCTTACTACTTTCATGTTCCTTGACGCATACCATCATCCAGTCTTCAGTAGTTTCCAAATATCTTTGGAGGCCAATTGTTGTAGTTTTGTAGGACAGTTCTAGTTGAACTAATCCTCTGCCTCCTTCGGATCTGGGCACATACAGACGGTCGACATCAGCTTTGGGATGATGCATGCGATAGCAAGTGAGTAGCTTTCTCGTTTTGGCATCCAGTCGCTTAATTTCAGCTATGGTCCAGTTAAGGACATTAAAGCTGTATTGCACCACAGGGACAGCCAATGTGTTTATGGTTGATATCCTGTTTTTGAGTTCAGCTCAGTATTTAGTACCAGACGTACACGCCTGTAGTGTTCTTTTTCTTATTTTTCCTTCATTTGGGGGTGTTGTATGCCATCTCCTTCGCTAATTCCTAGGTACTTATAAGCTTCACCATGCTCCAGTTCCCTAATCTTTGTGACAAAATCTAAATCTATTAAGGGTGTTTCTGTAATTCTACCTTTCTTGAAAGTTACATTTGCACATTTATCTAATCCGAAGTCCATACCTATGTCGTCACTGAAGTATTTTACAATATTGAGGAGGCCTTTCAACTCATCATTATTATTATTATTTCCTTTGATTTCTGGTGTGTTCACATTTCTTTCCGGATGCTGCCCACAGACTCAAAATCAGAAATAACGTCATGACATTTTCCACTGACCTTAAAAAAAATATTATTATTATTATTATCATTATTATTAGAAAGACCCATGACAATTTCACTTTTTTCCTGATGAATTGTGATTCTTAAGTTAATGATTGAATAATCAATAACAATCATAAATACGAATGCTGATCGTTATTTTAAGAAGTAAGGGGATACAAATGAAAAGAAAGTGACAACTTTTTTCATTTCACTGAAACAGTTATTAAAAACTTCTATCTTATCTTCTTTCTTTTTTTTGTTTCTTCTTTTCTTTCTTTGTTTCTTTGTTGCTTTCTTCCTTCTTCCTCTCTCCCTCCTTTCCGTCCTTCCTTCCTTCCTTTTTCCTTCCTTCCTTTGTTTCTTCTTTCCTTCCGTCCTTACTCCCTCCCTCCATTCATTTCTTTGTATCTTTGTTTATTCATTCTTTTTGTTTCTGTATTCCTCTCTTTCTTTCTTTCTTCCTTTTTTTTCTTTCTTTCTTTCTTCCTTTGGTCCTAAACCAATTACCATCGGTCCTGTTTTTCCTTTGTTTCTGTATTTAGGATATGTTTTTCTTTCTTTCTTTCTATCTTTCTTTCTTTCTTTCTTTCTTTCTTTCTTTCTTCCATTTGGGCGCTGAAACCAATTACCATCGTTGATAAGTGTTTTGTTTTCCAGGGGATCAAAAGGGAACAGTCTATTATTTATGAGGTATTGGTAGGATATGTTAAACTCTTCTTTCTTTCTTTCTTTCTTTCTTTCTTTCTTTCTTTCTTTCTTTCTTTCTTTCTTTCTTTCTTTTGGGCGCTGAAACCTATTACCATCGTTGATAAGTGTTTTGTTTTCCAGGGGATCAAAAGGGAACAGTCTATTATTTATGAGGTATTGGTAGGATATGTTAAACTCTTCTTTCTTTCTTTCTTTCTTTCTTTCTTTCTTTCTTTCTTTCTTTCTTTCTTTTCTTTCTTTTCTTTCTTTCTTTCATTTGGGCGCTGAAACCTATTACCATCGTTGATAAGTGTTTTTTGTTTTCCAGGGATCAAAAGGAACAGTCTATTATTTATGAGGTATTGGTAGGATATGTTAAACTCTTCTTTCTTTCTTTCTTTCTTTCTTTCTTTCTTTCTTTCTTTCTTTCTTTTGGGCGCTGAAACCAATTACCATCGTTGATAAGTGTTTTGTTTTCCAAGGGATCAAAAGGGAACAGTCTATTATTTATGAGGTATTGGTAGGATATATTAAACTCTTCTTTCTTTCTATCTTTCTTTCTTTCTTTCTTTCTTTCTTTCTTTCTTTCTTTTGGGCGCTGAAACCTATTACCATCGTTGATAAGTGTTTTGTTTTCCAGGGGATCAAAAGGGAACAGTCTATTATTTATGAGGTATTGGTAGGATATGTTAAACTCTTCTTTCTTTCTTTCTTTCTTTCTTTCTTTCTTTCTTTCTTTCTTTCTTTCTTTCTTTTGGGCGCTGAAACCAATTACCATCGTTGATAAGTGTTTTGTTTTCCAAGGGATCAAAAGGGAACAGTCTATTATTTATGAGGTATTGGTAGGATATATTAAACTCTTCTTTCTTTCTATCTTTCTTTCTTTCTTTCTTTCTTTATTTATTTATTTATTTATTTATTTCATTTTCTCACTGAAACCAAAAAGCATCTTTCCCCCTCTTTTCAGGTGATCAAAACAGAATAGTCCGTTATTAATCAAGTATTGGCAGGGCGTAACGGCCGTGCGAACTAACAAACAGGGAGGATAATAACGATTATAATAGCATAGTAATAATGTTGCAAATAGAGCTGACACAGTATAAACAGATTTAAAAATAGGAATCTGCCAACTAATTGATATGATTTTCCCACAGGATTCCAATGCTCGTAAAAAAAAAGAAGTTTCAAACAATATCAAATTACAAGGATATGCTAGTTGAATTAACAAAAATGTAGAAACTTAAAACTCCGATTATCCCGATTGGAATAAAGGAACACTGGGTTGAGGAAAATTCCTGGAAACATGAGCATCTCAGAGCTAAAAAAATTTACTTTGTGCAGAACTGCAGATATCATCCGCAAAAACCTCTCTATCTGAGCAAAACGTCCCAAAAGTGCAGAGATAACTCCCCTACGGTGCCCTTTTTACTCACAGACCCCGAAGGGAACGTGGCAATTAGGCACTTAATTAATTACTCTCTGGCAAGATGATACCAGAAATAATAATAATAAAAATTGTTATTAAAGACCACAAACAATAAAAGTGCCTTCTTATTGATATGGCAGTTCCTGTTGACTGCAGTGTATCTTTGAAGATATTCAAAAAGCTGTCAAAATACAAGGACCTTGAAATAGAAATCTCGAAAATGTGGCATATAGGAACATCAACAATACCTAGTTGGAGCCCTAGAACTGGTTGGAAAAGATTGCAGTAGACTAATTGAAGGGATTCCTGGAAGTCCATGCCTCAAGGAGATATAAAAAATTGTTCTGACAAGTACAGTCCACACTTTACGAAGGGCTTTATGTATGTAATATATAGATATATATTTTTTTTTTGTCAGTAGAAAGTGTCATGATGCCATTTCTAACCTTAGGTCCCTGGGCGGGACCCGGAAAGAAATGTGTACACGCAAGAAATCAAAGAAAATAAAAATAATAATAATAATAATAATAATAATAATAATAATAATAATAGAGTGAACAGAATGACAGGAGAGTTCCATAAGATTCCTAATAATCTGTTTGATTGCTTCTTCTTCCAAGATGAACAATATGGCCATCATATTCAGCCCGTTTCAGTTGCATACCTTCACGCTGGTGGCGTTTCATTCGTTTTCACGCATTCATTACCAGGGCAGCCATTTTTCATTACAAGACAAACAACATTTAATTATTATCTTAACTGTTAATAATAATAATAATAATAATAATAATAATAATAAATAAATAAATAAATAAAAAAGCGGAAAATTACAAGATGAACAAGATCGCCATCATATTAAGCACGTTTCATCATTCCTTCTTTTTCGGGGTCATCATTCCCCCCCCATATCATTTTATTGATAAAATTTAAATACATACATACATACATACATACATACATACATACATACATACATACAGACACACACACATACATACATACATACATACAGACACACACATACATACATACATACATACATACATACATACATACATACATAGACACACACACATACAGACACACACACATATATGTAAAAGAACAAAAAGAGTATAAATTCAAACGTTCATAACATTAATTTAAAAAGAGTTCAATGCAAGAGTAGAGCAATAGATATTTATTATAAACTGTTACATTGGAACAGTTTATAAGATATATATATATATATATATATATATATATATATATATATATATATATATATATATATATATATATATATATATATATATACAGTGTAACCCGGATATAAGAGACCGGACATAAAGAGAAACCCGGATATAAGAGACTTCTTCTCCAGTCCCGACAACTCTCTTATATCCGGGTTACACTGTATATATATATATATATATATATATATATATATATATATATATATATAATGTAACAGTTTATAATATATATATATATATATATATATATATATATATATATATATATATATATATTTAGGCAGCAATTTTTCATTGATGTATGTTTCATTAAATAATATAGACAAGTTTTGTCTATTTATTTTAAGTAAGTTCCTTTCATATTGTCTGATAAGCTTAATAAAATTATTGAAAGACGAAAGGAAAACACCGTATTGATACATGTTTAAATCCAATGTAAGCTTTCCGTTGGCATAAGCCATTTTCAAAGATGACTATTACTTTTCAATATATCAAACCATACGCGTGGTCATGTGTGACGTCACGAGCTGCGATGCGATTTTCGTTTCCGCATCTTGTATACACGAGTTAGTCGTTGCTTTGAAATTTTTCATGCAACAAAAACAGGCTATCATTATCGTTTTGTCCGTGTATTGGTTGATATCAAGTAATTGTCATCTTTGATGGTATAATGGGTTGACCGTCATATGGACTGATGTATTAGCCTAAGATTTAGTGTTAATTCTTAATTCTCTCAGATGGTTGAGATGATTCTTTTCAAAGTTAGTTAGACCTCGGTAGCAGGTGTTTTACCAGTTTGCTCGGTTTTCGACAGCAAGTTCGAATTCCTCTATAGGGATGTTTGTAGCAATTAAATTGTATTTAAGTTTATCCTTGAAGCTTAACCAAGGACGTCCTACGTTACGCTTATCATGAAAAAATCTAGGTATACATGAGGATTATCGGTATCCGATCATCACTCATTCTGATGACATGACCAGGCTATATGAACTGTGATTGCATCAGAAATGATTCGATGCCACCGACGCCACATTTGATAAAAAGATCAGGGTTAGAAACATTGTTCTGCCGTGTATAGCCGCTTATTGAACGAAGACAGCGTTTATGAAAACATGAAGTTGATTGATGTGCGTCCTGTATGGCGTCCAAGACTCCTACCCATAAAGAAGCGTGGTGAGAATGACTGCTCGATAGACACTGATTTTCGTTTTTAATGAAGTCCCATGAACATCCCATAGGTGATGCTTAAGCTCTCCAAAGGCATTGGTTGCCTTTGATATTCGGTTAACTATTTCATCATCCAAAGAGGTACTTTAATTGACTTTGCTTCCTTAATACGAGAATGATTTCACATACTTCAGGTTGTTGCTGCTAACAGTAATGGGAACGATTGGAAAGTTATGAGCAGGTTGTTTTTGTTTTACACCCTTGACCTGCTTAGGTGTAGACCTTGCTTGATGGATAGCTTCAGTTTTCTTTATGCTTATAGTTAATCCGAATGCGTTGCAAGCGGCTGAAAAACGATTGACTGCTTAAGCTTCTTCGATTAAGGTGACCATGATCGCAGCGTCATCAGCAAACAAAAGATCACGAATAATGCTTGATCGAGTAAGCGATTTTGATTTAAAACGTTGGTGGTTAAGGAGGCCGCCACTTGTGCGCAATTCAAATTTTACAGCCATGTCAAGATCACTAAAAGCATGGTGCAGCATGACCGAAAAGAAGAGAGCGAAATGTACAGGAGCCATGACACAACCTTGCCATTTGTTATATCGAAGGCTTCTGAAAACTCTCCATGAGATAGAACAGATGCTTTCATTCCTTTGTGAAACGAGATGATGACATTTAGTATACTTTCAGGTATGCCAAGCTTTTTGAGTACTTTCTAGAGGGCACCTCTGTTTACAGTGTCAAACGCTTTGGTCAGATCGATAAATACGGTATAGAGTTCATAGTTCTTCTCGTGAACTTTCTCAGTGTTGTGGAGTGATTTCGCAGTGGAGGCTTGTATTTGTACTAAATCGGTCCTAAAATAGGTTCGACGTACAAAACGTTAGGAACTTGATATAATAGGTATTACGCAGAGTAATATTGTTGTGGTCGCTGATACTTTCGTATTCGACTAACTGTCGTTCGACATCGACTACTATTTAATCACCCCCCACGAGGATATCATGTGGCACAAGGCCGGTTTAACGTGGGATCTCCGAGCCCGTGGCCTCAGCCAAAATTATACCCTTTGAACCCGTATAAACGGGTTCAGGGTTGGTT